CCGTTTGGTCGCTGGCGAGACTGTGCTAGTTATCCTCACCTAACATTTAGGTTACTCTTCAGCAGTGGACTGGAAAAAGATATCGCTGAAAAGACACCTTCGATAAATTCTTACCTTGGTTGCACTGTTAGTGGTGACGACTCCTGGGCACACGGAGGCCATCCTATCACGCTTAACGCTTAGAAAAGTACTAATCAAAGTGAGCGGTATTTCCCACTTTGATAAGCACTGTTCAAAACCAATCAGGTGTAGGCTGTGCAGGATCCAACGAAGAAACTCGTATCATGATTAAATTAGTTTTTATGCATTTTTCGGTGGCTGGGCTGATTTTTCCTGTGTCCATTTTGTTTCTAATATTGTAAGTAAAACTGTATTCTTTTTCATTCAAACGAATGCAGAATCGTATGTACGAGAACTTAATTTTCGAGCTTTTAGACTATGTTTTTCTGTACTCATAAAATACTTATTTTAAGTTTTTAGTAATTTCAAAATTTACAAAATTTCATAAAAATTAGCGTTATGAAACTTATGTAATAATTTTATAATTACAAAGGTGTTGTAAAGCTGAAAGCAAATGTTTAAAGCACTTAACTGAAACACGCTGAAGTGAATTTAAATTGCTCCAATAATATGTAAAGTAAAATATCGTTAAAAAACATAAATATTACAATTTAATTTAATTTCAAAATTAATATTTAATCTACATCAGGAATTTTTCAAAGTCACTCTGATACATGCACAGAAATCCTGTAGTCTCGATAGAAAAGCAGCGTAATGTTCGATGTTACTGTTATCTAGAGTTTAAACCGAAATTTATGAAGTTAATTTAAATGATCTTTTGGTTGTTTTTTTTATTTCAACGTGATCTTTGAATTTTCTTTTGTAAATATCTTTCTTAATATGTAAAACTTTTATATTATTTTTATTAATTTGACAGTTATTGTTTATTGTTTGGTTATACCACAGAGAATTATTATATTTAAGACGGATAGAGGCTTCATGTTCTTTGATTCTTATTCCTAATATGCCGCCTGTTTCGTCGATTTTATAAACCGTTCCAACTTTTTTAAGGTTACCTGTTTTTATCTTATTGTTTGCTAATATTTTGTGATATTTTATTGGTCAAAGATGGGGCCAAACTGATATTATCCTTTTTAAGGTTGTTATTGCTTTAATTTTCGAAAATATTTTGAAAATAAGAGAAGGTTTTATGTTTTTTATCTTGTTTCTATATATTTTTTCACAAAATCTGGTATAATAGCTGATAAATACTTAGATTTAGTATATGTCTCTTCAATCCGAATGATTAAAAAACGGTAGACTTTCTTTCAGCTCTGAGGTTAAGTATTCCTTTTACTTTATTGTAATTTACAATAAAGGAATACTTAACCTCAGAGCTGAAAGAAAGTCTACCGTTTTTTAATCATTCGGATTTAAGAGACATATACTAAATCTAAGTATTTATCAGCTATTATACCAGATTTTGTGAAAAAATATATAGAAACAAGATAAAAAACATAAAACCTTCTCTTATTTTCAAAATATTTTCGAAAATTAAAGCAATAACAACCTTAAAAAGGATAATATCAGTTTGGCCCCATCTTTGACCAATAAAATATCACAAAATATTAGCAAACAATAAGATAAAAACAGGTAACCTTAAAAAAGTTGGAACGGTTTATAAAATCGACGAAACAGGCGGCATATTAGGAATAAGAATCAAAGAACATGAAGCCTCTATCCGTCTTAAATATAATAATTCTCTGTGGTATAACCAAACAATAAACAATAACTGTCAAATTAATAAAAATAATATAAAAGTTTTACATATTAAGAAAGATATTTACAAAAGAAAATTCAAAGATCACGTTGAAATAAAAAAAACAACCAAAAGATCATTTAAATTAACTTCATAAATTTCGGTTTAAACTCTAGATAACAGTAACATCGAACATTACGCTGCTTTTCTATCGAGACTACAGGATTTCTGTGCATGTATCAGAGTGACTTTGAAAAATTCCTGATGTAGATTAAATATTAATTTTGAAATTAAATTAAATTGTAATATTTATGTTTTTTAACGATATTTTACTTTACATATTATTGGAGCAATTTAAATTCACTTCAGCGTGTTTCAGTTAAGTGCTTTAAACATTTGCTTTCAGCTTTACAACACCTTTGTAATTATAAAATTATTACATAAGTTTCATAACGCTAATTTTTATGAAATTTTGTAAATTTTGAAATTACTAAAAACTTAAAATAAGTATTTTATGAGTACAGAAAAACATAGTCTAAAAGCTCGAAAATTAAGTTCTCGTACATACGATTCTGCATTCGTTTGAATGAAAAAGAATACAGTTTTACTTACAATATTAGAAACAAAATGGACACAGGAAAAATCAGCCCAGCCACCGAAAAATGCATAAAAACTAATTTAATCATGATACGAGTTTCTTCGTTGGATCCTGCACAGCCTACACCTGATTGGTTTTGAACAGTGCTTATCAAAGTGGGAAATACCGCTCACTTTGATTAGTACTTTTCTAAGCGTTAAGCGTGATAGGATGGCCTCCGTGTGCCCAGGAGTCGTCACCACTAACAGTGCAACCAAGGTAAGAATTTATCGAAGGTGTCTTTTCAGCGATATCTTTTTCCAGTCCACTGCTGAAGAGTAACCTAAATGTTAGGTGAGGATAACTAGCACAGTCTCGCCAGCGACCAAACGGTTCCGTTCCCTAAACACTGGGAGTTCGATCGTGGGTTTGCGCCTCGTCCAGACGGATTTGCCACGTGGAGTTTTCCGGATTTTCTCTATGTCTGAAACGACGAATAGGGATGAGATTTAAAAGTTCCCCTATTAACTGCAAACTTTTACCAAAAAAAAGTCACATCCAAGGGGAGCGGTTATGAAAGAAAATTCAAGAAGCATTAGTTCAGAACGTGACTTGCGCCATTTTGTTTAGAAGAAAGATTTCGTCTTTCTTGGTGTTTTACGGTTGACTTTGAATGTTATTGCATTGTGAGTAAGACAATTTTTTAATGATGGTACCGGATTTGAAAAGTGAAAAAATAACTTAATTGCTAATTTAAAAGTTTATAATTATTCTCGAAGATTTCACTATCAAAAATTATTTTTATTGTTTACTTAATACGTTTCTAAATATGTATTTTATATGAAAAATATCGGTTATCTTTTCGTACATGATTCATATTTTCTATGGGTATTCTTGAAATTAAAGTTATATTCAATGCGTTGAATGAAATGATCAGCAAAGCATTAAGAGAGAAGGCCAAAATGAAAAAAAAAAATATATTGCATTACAGTGCAATGTGAAGCCACGAAATCAAATAAACTTGAATCCATTCCTTTCGATTTCGAAAAATATCTTCCAGTTTCTAAAATTATGAGCTAAAAAGTATATTTTAAACAGGTTTCCTTTAATATCCATACTTTGTGGAGTGATGAACTTTTCATTTTCATCTAAGATCAGTCGGTTGGAAAATAACGAAGCAGATGATGTGATGGACTGCTATCCCATCACTGTAAAAATTACTCGATTGATTCTATTTTACACATGTCTTCTGTTTTTGCATTCAATTAGTGATAAAAACAAAACGAATAAAAATAAAATGGCGGAAAACTGTAAAATAATAGAAAAAGTCCTATTTTTAGGAAACACTTTATTAAACCCTATGAATGATACAAGAAGTAAACTGCAGAGATGAAGACGGACGTCGTAAATTTAGTGAGATTTGCTTTTCAAAGATGAAAGGGTACATGTGTAACATTTTCTACTCGGTGACAGATTCTATACCAATTTACGTTTTCAGAACTGTCGTACTACTAGGGCGGTTTTTTCAAGCTCCGATGGTCCATAAAACAAACACAAGTGTAAATAGCAAAATGAATTTATTACTAAAAGTTAGATACAAACATTTTTACTTTTCGACATAATCACTGTGAAGATTAAGGCATTTGTCATATCTGTGGACGAGCTTTGTCATAGAATGTTACCGCCAATGATTTGAAGATGGGCCCTAACATTGTTTTGAAGATCGTCATTAGTTCATTAGTCTCAAGCCTCTGCCCTGCTAGCCACGTTTTCAGTTCGGGGAAAAAAGGTGCAAGTCTTCACATATTAAAAAGTTTCAAGCTGAGTGGAAGTCTTCACCACCTTTAAACACCCAACGTATAGCCCGGATTTAGCGTCGAGCGACTTCCACCTCCTTCCTGAACAGGAAAGGTGGCTAGGAGAGCAGAGGTTCGAGACTAATGACGATCTTCAAGAAAACGTTATGGCCCATTTCAAGTCATTGGCGACAACATTCTAAGACAAAGCTCGTCCACAGATATGACAAATGTCTCAATCTTCACAGTGATTATGTCGAAAAGTAACCAGATTTGTACCTAACTTTTGGCAATAAATTCATTTTCATATTTATAATTGTGTTTATTTTATGGACCATCGGAGTTTGAAAAAGCCTACGTACATTGGCCAAATGGAACTTTGTGTAAGAATTGTATAAATATTAATGTCCGTAGCTTTCTTCAGATTTTATATTGGATAAGATAAGGTTTACTTTAAATAAAATAATCAGTAAAATCACGTTCTTTTCATACATAAGTCAAAACGAAACGATTCACAACAGACACAAGATATGAGTAATTCCCGGTTTTCCTAGTGTTAAACCAATCAAATCTATAGACTAGTACTCTGATTCTTCTTGATTGTAGATTTTCAAATTTATTCAGATACTGTACTTAATATTGTTTTTAACACGGAGTATACGCTCGTGTAATACACCCGTTTTTTATTTTATATTTATTTATAAACTTTTCGATTTTCGGTGAAAACAGAATTTATTATTTAGTGTCGGACACATCATAGTTTAAAATATGGAATGAAATTTATAACAACAATTATAATTAAATGATTTCGTAGAGTGAATATACATTGTTTAAATTTATACAAAAACCACATCTCCTACACTATTTTCTTTTATGAAATCTATAAAGTAAGCAGTTGACATAAAAAAATTCAATTCCGTAGAATCCATTGTACGTGCACTTATAATTCCAATTAGAATTTTTCTTCCATCATCGTTTACGTATAATTGGACCTCCGGAGTCATCCTAAAATCGAACAATTGAAATATTTTTTAGTTCAATAAGATCATTTCCTTCATATTTTTGTACAAAATAAGCTTATACTCACAGGCATTGCACTAGTATCTTCTTTATGTGTAATAATTACTGAATCGTCAATTGGTTCGTCTTCTAGGGTCCATCCTTTATGATCAACAAAATCCACGTAAGCAGCTCGGAGACAAGCTTCGTCCTCTATTTGGGATTCCTCTAAATGCAAAATATATAAACCATTTTAATAACAAACTAATTCATTTCTTTGTATTAAAAGTAATTACTAAGATACGATAATAAATATCACGTATAAGGGAGATCGGGGCAAGATCGGCATGTTAAGCTTTACTTAAATTTTGTGTAATAAATACTGCTGTAAACTGAAAAAAAAGCTTTGCATATTGTCTATTGGAATGTTACCTTACTATAGAACTGGTTAAAATCAGTTTGGAAATAAAAATAATTAAAATAATTACAACTTTACAAGAAGAGAGAAATTGACGAAGTTGCCCCGGGTATAGGGGCAAGATCGGCAACTTCTCTCTTTTTGTAAAGTTGTAATTATTTTAATTATTTTTATTAAAGTTGCCCCTGGTATAGGGGCAACAGTAATGGGGTAAGATAGGCACGTATATAAAATTATGTTATTAACAATGTATAAGTTGGAATTCACTATTAAAACAAAGAAATACAAATCCAACACCCATTTAAGATTATTACAACGAAATGCAAGTTCAAAGACATATATACATGAATAACAAATGCAAACATGTTTTCATTTATCATCTGTTTGATTTTTATCCTTTGCTTCTAATGTGGCTTTATGTTGCCAATCTTACCCCGCTAGTCATGATTTCGAACATTAAGTACAACCCTGAGAACAGAATGCCAAGCCACGATCTGGCCACGTGAATAAGTTGAAGTTACATCCTTCTAACAGGAAAAGTAACTTTCGTTATCATGGAATTATAACAAAACCTGCCAATTCAATATAAATGGAAAAAAAATATTATATGGAATTGAACGAAAATGAAAATTTGCTTGATAATTCAACTACGCTTGTTGGAGAACAATAAAAACACTACACTCAACAAGCCACCAATAAAACTCAACTGCCTAACCTATAACCAAAGTCTTTTTTTAATTTGTTTTTTAAAAAAAGCGCTTGACAAACTTGCCCCGCATGCCGAAGTTGCCCCGATCTCCACTATATTAAACTGTTAAGATTATTCTGTGTTACCAGCAAAATATTAAAATAACTGGGGGACAATATACATTTAAAGTAATTTGTGCTTTCTTTTAGTGTTATTGTATAAATTGAAGTGCACGAACTAAACTTTTAAGGAACGTATTTAAATAGACTGAATATATGTGTGTAACCATTCCGATTTAGTATTCGGGTGACCATCTTACGGGGTTTCCTTAAATTATAGTTGTTAATAAATATTTAATACTTCATTCAACTTTCTTGCCGCTCAAAAGAACCAGTAAGTCCTGCAGAATAGTGCACAGAATGAGTTTTATGTATTATTTCTTGTATTACAATAGTTAGGACGAATAGAAATTTTTAAAATGATAAAGAATCTATTTTAAATAAGACATTGGAAAAACATATATGATATTTATTATGTTATTAATGATAAACGTGAAGTGTGACGTTAAAAAAATTATTCCTATCCCTTTGTCATTTTGCCTTACATTCTCCGTTACTACTCCCTTTTCATCTATACATTATTTATGGACGGCACCGTAAGAAAGAAATTCAATTCAATAAGAAGTTCGTTAGTTTGAAATCTGATAACCCAAAGTCAAGATTATCGGTAATCCAGAGCGCAAAACTCGGAAATACGGCATCCGATTGTTCCACGATCTGAAGTTTATTTTATTATGTGGATTCCTTAGGTGGAATTAAACTACGTGACAGAAAAATAAATGTTACATACACATGAATAATTTTGAATGCTAATTTTGCGCAGTAGCCTGCTTACTAACGTTTCGTCCAACAGTGGCGGAGTGCATAAGACTATTGAACATGGGTCCTGAGTTTGAGCTTGACTAAAAACCAGAAACGAAGAGTTTTCTTGTTTTTCTTCACTTTTCTAAAAGAATTACCGTAGGCCGATGGCCGAGCAATTAAGGAGTCATCATACCACTCTGCAGAACAAAACCCATGTAGACGACAACCTAAAAAATTTTTCATGGGCACGAATATGTTAAACTCTGTCCCTTATAACACGATCGTCATATTCTTTTGCCTAGACGAATTCACGGTGGATTTAACATAGAGGTTTTCTAAAAGCGCACGGGACCGAAATAGTAAGAAATAAACATCTAAATGAAAACCTGTCTTCTGTAAAAGTCCTCCTAGGCAAAGGCATCTCCTTTGGAAGATAGTCCATGTTGAATTTTCTTATCTCATCAATCCATCACATTAACGTCTGTCCAGTTCTTTAATCACTCTTAACATCGTTTAATCATGCACTGAAACAAGTTCAAACTGACAAAACGGTGTTCATAAAATATGAAAAGCATACAGCAATGTGCATTAGTTGAAATTATACAGATATGTCTGATACATTCAAATTACATATCCTATAACTTATCAGACTTTAGGTTTTACAATAGAAATAATCCTGATAATCCTACATCACTTTTGTTCCGATGATGATGGAATAACAATATTCTATTCTATTGTATTTTGTTTCAGTGTATACTTCACCGTCAGTTATTTCTTATCTATATAATTTACTTCATTACTCTTATGTTGTATCTGCAAATTTCATAAATGCATGCATATTCACAGTTGCATATTTCAAGTAAAACAAGTATTGTAGTATAAGCAATCTAGGCTATAGATAAAAAAGAAATAAATTTATTATCTGTTGTTATATATTATATAATTTTTAACGAGTTAGCGAAAATATTGTGAAATTAACAAAAATGAATAATAAGTACACATGTGTTAGATTATAAAGTGACTTGGAGCTCCTGACAATCAAGAATTGCCTAGGCGTAGTAAATATATTTTTAATTATCAGACGTATTACATCACTATTATTTTCTCACATTACAATTGGTACTTACCAACATCTCCCCATCCTACTATAGTTGCACTTCCTGAGGAATATTCTGTAAGTTCTCTTGGTAAAGGAATAGGTATTGGCATAGGCTGGCATAGGTGGAAGTCAGTAATGTCATCTTGTAATATCAACAGCTCAATATCGTGGTCAACATTTCTTCCAATATATTTCGGATGTTCGATTTTCTTTGAAAACGATATTTTCGTCCCCAAGTATTTATTGTTGTTGCCTATTCTACCAAATAGATTTTCAATTGAGCTTCTATAAAATATAATAATTACAAAAAGAGTCAAGTAAAATAAGTGAATTTCAGAAGAAAATTCTGTGATTTAAGCAAATATTATTTTGGTTAGATATAAATTATGGAGCTTTAACGCTCTTATAAGTTCGGAAAAATTTATGCAAAAATCTATAGACTATAATAAATTTTAAAATTGTACTCATAAATTACATGAGCAGCTCCTAACAATGTTCTAGTTGTTATCAATGTGAAAGATGCCAAAAATGCAGCAGGGAAGCTACTGTAAGGTCTCTGAAAAAATATTCCGACCTGAAAAAAATTCAATTAAATTTTTGTAACTTAATCACATTACTAATAATGTAAAACATAGACATTTTTTTTAAATTTTCGATGCAATGCCACGCTAAAAAAGTATGTAAATCGAGCAATACAATCGATTCAAATTCGAAGGTTATAATTCGTAAATGGAGAACAATTCCAAAGCTTGAATTTGACATACCAGAACAAATAAAAAATTCAAATACTATTACAAATCAGCAATTTGTTCAAGTGCATTTAGAAACTTTGAGAAATTTTAGGAAAACACGAAATAATTCCAACTTAAGTTACTGATAATTAACATTTGTTAATGAACGTTAAAAACTGTAATTACAAAAGCTAAAACTCTAATTTATGGATAATATTTTTATCTGATTTAATTAGAAAGTAGTAAGGCAGAAATTTCAAATTATATCACTGATTTTTTCTCATTTATAATGGAGGTTGGTCCAGGGACTTTATAAGCACTTTTAAGGCCTCTGACTGAGTGTATTTAGAAGCATTCTTTAAATATAAATATATAATAGAAATATGAATAATGAATATTGAAGACGAGTCCCCAACAATGACCCAGTGTTTTTCTTGTGTTTATGAGTTTCGCGTTTCATCTTGTCAGTAATAGAAAATTACAATTAGTAGTTATTGCAAAACAAGTTGGTTTACTTGAATTAAGCAAAAATTAATTACAAACAAGGAATTTCATATTAATATAATAAAATGAAACTTTCATGATCATTATTCTGTACATGTTTGTATTGTTTAAAAAAATTCATAGTAGTGCCAACGGGATTTAAGTACAAACGCTAAATTCACAATGGTCCGTGAGGTCAGAAAGATTGGCGACCACTTATCTAGTACATTTAATACGAATCTGAATTGTTAATGTTGGTGTACATTTTTCCTACAAATCTAACGATAATCAAACTACATAAATAAAAGTAATTCTAATAAAACGGAGCAATATCTTCTGTGTTCAATATAGAATAAATGAAATAGATGCAGTATAGAATCAAAAAAATACAGTACGTCAGAATTACAATAACATAGAGTACATTGATTAATAAGTATTATTTGAAAACTACGTAGTTTATTTTCGAAAACACAATTGCAAATAGTATAAATTAAAAGAAACATAAAAAATAGTAATCAAACTTTCAATTATTGGAATGTACACACATTATTCGTTAAATAAACTATTATTTTTACAAAACCTAAATAGATATTAATGTGAAGCCCTGGAAATGATACAATAAAGAGAGATGTAAAATTTATTAAGGTAAACCTTTAGGAAAACAAGTAATGTCGGCGACACCGGACTTTGGCATCGTCGCTCAAAAAGAATACAGGAAAAAAACAAAATTTTAGAATAAAAGAAAATTAAAAAGGAAAATACTTAAAACGTAAGTTGTAATTAGAGAAAAAGAAATGAGAACGAAGAAAAATGAGCGTGGTTGTCTTTGTCATCAATAAAAAGCGATCAGAGTCTAGAGGATGGTGTCGGATTAACCAGCTTTCTCGTGACCTAAACTGAAATCAATTTTCATCTAGAGACAGGTAAGAGACCAATAAGGAAGCGGGAAAGAAAAACCTCGACCAGTTAGCAATATAATCTCCGCCGTCAAGGAGAAGGAAGCTTCCTCTAGAGTATTTTCCTTGGAATCGTCGCCTTTTTCTCTCCGTGCTTCCGCTCGTCACTATCCTGTGTTGCTTCTCTTTACAACGAACTTTAACTCGCCGCCGCCCCGGGCTCCGCCATCGACATAAGAAAGAAAACATCTAGAAACGCCAAACGAATTGGACTGTGCCTTTTAGGACCTTGTCAACAATACATAAGCATTATCATCAGAAAAAAAGTAGACGGTTTCTTTGTGAAAAACTTGTCTTTTTCTGGCACCGAAAACCGCCACCCACATACGCTTAAACCTTAGACCATTTCAACGAAAAGAGAATTAATAGAAAACCCCCCTTTACGGTGAACTTACACTGGTGTCTGAGAAGTGGGATTTTAAGTCCCCGATCTCCACTAGGTCGGCCAACTTACATTAAGTACTTCTTCGAAATTAATTCAAAATTGTAACTGCTGAAACATTTTTGAAATGAGAAACGAATCCAAGATAAAGAGCAAATATTTCAAGTTTAAGTTAATTAAAAATAAAATGTAGGAATAGACGTGTGAACTTCATTTTAATACTAATTACATAAAACGTATCGTACCATAAACGGATAATCTTTAACATCAGCCATGAATCCGCCCACTACTCTTCGTGTAATATCTACAAATGTTATAGAATCATTAAAATAAATTATTTCCTAGTTAAAATTTTGTATTTAAATATTACTTACTTGATTTATTCCTACGTGCGTATGCATCCATAAAAAACAGCGAAAGAAACACGAAGAGAACAAGCAAGCGCTCATTTAACATTCTAAAACGACGATAATCATATAGATATACGGAAACAAAAATCTGCTGTTTACATTAAACTTACCTTAAATTAGTCTTATGGCTTGTGTTTCCGTAGAACATATTTCAAAAACGCTTTATGCTCGTGTCTTCACAGTAAATGCATCAAGGCTTTAAGGTGCAATCATAAAATGAATCGTAATTTATTATTATACAGCGATATTAACATTTTATAATTGTTTCGTTATTTCAATTTATTATTCATCGAGTATTTGAATGATATTTAAAATAATGCTTTGAAGACTTTCTACAGAATATGAGCAATATTCCATTGCACACAGTCGGTGCTTTTCTAGACCAATGCCGTCGTGTTTCTTTTTTCATTTTTTAAAAGCTCTTTATATTCCTTAAGCAAACTAAGGTACTTTGTGCTTAACGGGATACCATTCAACTGATTACCTTGTGTGAACTAATTGACTGCCTTTATTCTCCCTCATAAGTACTTTCTAGAATCCTGCTATTTCCCGTTATGATCAATCATATTTCAGAAATCTACATCTACGAAATCGTTGCTATAATTTTTTACTACTGTATTTACAACTACAAATGAAATACACTGCAAGACATTTAATATATGCCCCTAAAGCATGTTCATTTTGAAATCAAAGCTTTTTGTTTATGCAGATTGCGCAGTGGTTACCTATTTTCAACGTTGATTTATACAGGAAAATGCACCTTTTCAGTTACAAATATACAAAACTATTAATAACGTCACAAATAAGTACTATTTGTGACGTTATTTGTGTCAGTACTTGAGGGATATTGGACTAGCGATACTGTCTCACATCAACTATCATTATATATGACTTCGCGGCGTTTCCCTTATAGCATAAGACAGGCAACTATGGAACTACGCGAGTAAATAGGAAAGAAAGAGCATTGATTATTCGAACAACTAAACCGAAAAAGCTCGAATTGGTGGCTGTAAAACGTGAAAAAGTAAGTACAGTAAATGACACCCAAAAAAGATGTTGGTATCTACAATACTTGGAAAGAAAACAAATAAATCAATTCAACGAAATAGTACTGATGCGATACAACTGATATAGAGACACTTTACTTGTTTTATTCCACCAATGGGAAAAAACAACCGACAGCAAGAGGCACGCAATATACTGCAAAGAACAAGACAGAAAATAAAAAGTCTCGTTACTTTTCCGTGTAATGTTGCTTCTTCTGCACAATTCTTTCATATTTATCACAAGTAACAGACGATTTCAGTTATTAACATTGAAATCCACAAATAACAAAAATGCTGCGGAAAATCGAGAATCTTCTACAGACTTATAGGGCGAAAGATATATGGAACAAACTGTGATTGTTGTGCCAAGAATAAAACAACAGTGAACGATTTCAAAGCCAGGTCTACAGGCAAAAATTAGAGCTGATGACATCAACGATGTAATGTCCCAACTTCCTGATTATTATTAGAATCATATTTCCGAAGTATGCTGTACTTCCAGACAGTTATGCAATCTTCCAACCTGCAATAATTGTCTTGTAGAGCCGCATAAACAGAAAAGTAAGTAGCTAGAAGAGACATAATACGAAGGGGACATTCTTTCACATAGTTCCATTGTATAATATTCAGTGGCATTTGGATGGTAATATTTTGCTGTTCGTAGCATCCCACTTTATCTATACTTGTAAAACAATCATGATAGGAAGAGCTGCGTTAAATTATTACGATTTAAATTTCTCTATGTAAACATTTAGAGGATTAACTGATCGAATGAGCGGTATTCAGTGTCAGTACGGAAGTGTCAGTTGCTTACATTTTAGAGGTTGCTGTTGCCTTCCTGTACGTTGAACGATAAGAAAGTATTCAAATAAACTAAATTAGCAAAATGTAATTTAAGACACAACACCTTATGTTGCTGAGAAATTTCATAAAAACGCAACAAACGTTTACAGCCCAATCTATTGGCCATCGTCAGGTAAAACAAATTCGAATATTAATAAATTTTTAAATACGGATAATTAACAAAGAAAATAAGCATATACATGAAAAAATAAAAAATTATTATAATTAATAATATGTATATGTATAAAAATACATGTATAGGATAAATATACCTAAATAACAAAATATTCAATAGCAAGGATTACCATCAGCCTGGAAATACCTAACTAAAAAATTGGACAGCTCATAATTTATGCCTTGATTTTTGTTTTTTTTGCAATTTTTGTATTTCATATACGATATTATTATATAACTTTATAATAATTTGTTATTTAGTTATTTAATTATATCAAGAAAATATTACCTGAAGAAAAATTCCACATTTCGAATATATTATTTGTAAAAATTATATTTATAGAGTCGTACTGATTGTCAACATCGCTTCGTTATATAGTGTGTTAGATATTGTTTACAATTTAGAGGATAAGGATGCAAATTGATACTAGGATTATCAGTTTACATTTTAAACATAATTATAGCACTTTATATATTTATTATAAACACGGCGCTTAATTTCATCTAAATAGTGATAGATTGAAAACTTCAAAATTATATACGTAATATATGATTAACTTAACTTTTATCTTCGACATCAACCGTTATTGTCTACTGAAGGGCATAAGAGTTTTTAATAAATCTTATTCTGAGTTTTCTGCATCCAGTTCACACTTAATTAATATTTTCTGTTTTTCATCTGTGTATCTCCTGCTTGGTCATCTCCTGCATGTTATTCCCGATTCTGTTATTTTCTACTTTCGTCTGAAACTCGTTCTGCACATTTCAACTAGCCCAACGATGTTTTCTTTCTCTGACCCTTTGTTTATGTTTAATCCTAGTTCGTTTTCTTCTTTGTTCAATTTTCATTCTACCTTTTAAGGCAGTGTTTTTCAACCTGCGGGTCTCGACCCCGGGGGGTCGCAAAGCCGTTCACGGGGGTCGCGAGTAAAAGAAAAAGACAAGTGTTTGTAGGTCTACACTACAATAAAATAAAAGCTATAATTTCAGTGAGAAAGCTGTGCCTGTTTATTTCACAGTACAATTGGTTTTTCGATCGATATTTAGGTCTCAACAGAAAGAAAATTAAATACGTAGTTTTTAAAATCATTGGTATAATTTTAATGTGGCCCTGGGAGGGTAGCCAGAATTTTTTTAACTTGTAAAAGGGTCGCGTATTCAAGAAAGTTGAAAAACACTGAATTAGAGTATACGTATGGATCATTCTATGAGCCGTGTGTACAGTACCATTTGTAATAATAAATAACAATTAACAATATTGTATGCGGTAGTTTATTATAAACATGTTTTTATTTATGTATAAAAAGCATTTAAAAATTAACAATTTTACGTATGACCTACTTTTCAATATGTTTGTGTAGATTTATACTTGTAAAGTACTTTTTCCTGGAATTATTGCAGAAATATTACTATAAATCTATATTAAAATTGGACTAGCAGATTTACAACACGCTACGTAAATGGGCAATGTTGCTAAAAAATTTGCTACAGCGTAAAAATTAGATAATTGAAAGAATAATCGCAGGAAAACTACTCCGAATTAAGACTATCAAACGTTAAATGCGAGTTTGTCTTATAAACAAAGTCTGTTTTAATCAGGAGTATACAGTGACATCTATTAATGAAATAGTGGAAAATAGTCACAAAAATTGTGAGCGATACATTCCTGATTGTCTTCTAACTTGAAAGGAATGCATTGCATCTATTGTTTACCCGTTCGACAACACGTTTCTTTGCAAACCTAACCTAACCTAACCTCGTTAGAACTCTTCGATACCCACCGGTGGACGGTACCGACCCCGTTGGGGCTTTAATTAAAATATACTGTGATTATAACTTATAAAAAGTTCATCGTATTACAGGCAATATTTATTATTCGTTTATGACTTTCGAAAAATATTAGTTATCATGAATATTCATTATTAATTAAATTCTTATGAATAATTTTCTAGCTATAGTTAAGCTTTCTTATCACGCCGATCAGACAGAGATGATCACCTCGTCTTTGGCATATTCAGGCTTTATTTATTCGTATTTTTAACATTTTTCTTCTATGTAGCTTCTCCGAGTCGGAGGTTGCTAACAATCGATCGCCACTTCTCCCGATCTCTCGCAGCGTGAATTAGCTTATTCTTATTAATTTGAGTCCACTCCACTATATCTTGTAGGTAGGTCCTCCGCTGTCTTCCCCGGGAACAGGTTCCTTGGATTCTGCCCTGCAGTATGACGGCAAGCGGTGAGTTGGTGGCTCGGATGGCATGGCCGCAGTACCTCGCTTTGCGTCCCGCTACGATAGGAAACAGCTGTCGCTCTTCCATCCGAACCGTTCCAGCTCGCGTGCGTTGGCCACTCGCTCTGCCCGGCTGATCTGTAGCATGCGGCAATAGCACCACATTTCGAATACTGCCAGTCTTTTCTCCGTGCCCTTATTCATGGTCCATGTCTCTCACCCGTACAGCAAGACAGACCATACGTAGCAGTGTAATACTTTAATCTTCATCTCCAAGCTTAGTTTCTTATCCATACGTGTTCGCTGGAGATTAGAGAAGGTTAATTTCGCCATTTAGACTTCCTTATCACATCTACCATTTTTGTTCCACCAGATACTCCAAGATATTTGAATTCGGTTACTTTTTTCAGTAAAGTACCGTCTACAAAGATTTGAGAATTGTCCGCCGCGGAATCTTTACTAATTTTTATCCATTTCGCCGTTTTTCCGTCGATACGCATGCCATATTTCGCACTGCCTGCTTGGAGTAAGTCTAGCATTTGTTGGAGCTCCGTCTCAGATGTGGCAATGCATGCGAGATCGTCGGCATACCGGATGTTATTGATATTCACTCCTCCGACCCAGATACCCACATCCTCGCAGAAACATTCCTGTGTTATCTGTTCGGAAAAGACATTAAACAGTGTGGGTGATAATACACATCCTTGTCTAACTCCTTTTTCTATCTGACACTGTGCTGTTTCTATGTGGTCCAGCTTAGCTGTGGCAGTCTAGTCCCAGTATAGGTTGCTGGTCTGTTTGTAGTCATTTGTGTTTAGATTGACTCTCTTTAACGTTTCCATTAAAAGTGGGTGTTGTACTTTGTCGAAAGCTTTTTCGTAGTCGACGAAACCAATGTACAACTCCCTTTGCATTTCTATGGCTATTTTTAATAAAATTCTCACAGCAAACAGTGCATCAATAGTACCCGTTTCAGATCTAAACCCAAATTGCGATGGTCCTATCTGAGCCTCCATTTTGTTTCTTATTTGGTATCCTATAATTTTTAGTAAGAGCTTTAGGCTATGACTCATTAGACTTATAGTTTGTAATTGGTCACATCGCTTGGCATTGTGCTTCTTTGGAATTGGAATGAAAGTGGATCTTTTGAAATCGCGTGGTAGCTAGTAACGATAGTTTTGCATACGTGACCAAGGATTTTAGGAGTTCAGCTGGAATATCATCATCACCAGGAGCTTTTCCACTTCTCATGGAGTCTATGGCATGTTCTAATTCTCTTAGCGTAATAGCAGGGGCAGCATCTTCTTCTGTTGTATGAACCTAGGGATGTCTGTTGCGATCTCCAAACAAATCTTTAATGTACTCTGTCCAAGTTAGCTCTTTCTTCCTTTCCACATTTCATTTTGTTTCGTTGGTCTATTAAATTTGTTACGCCTTGTTTTCTTAAGTTCTTTCATGGTTTGTTTGATGATTCTATGGACTTCTCTGGTAAGGTGCTTTTTTTCTGCACTGCTATTCCTTCACATTTTTCTTCGAACCACTTTTCTTTGGCTTTGGCTCATTCATGCCTGATCACCTGATGAAGTTTTTGTATTTTCGAGGGTTTCGGTTCTTAAACTTTCTGCGTTCCTCCATCAGTGTCAAAATGTCCTCTGTGATCCAAGGGTTCTTCCTTTCTCTTTCCTTTTTGTTAAGTAAGGTACAGGTAGCATTCTTAATTGCACTTTTTATGTTTTTCCAGTGTTTCTCTATAAAGGGTATGTCGTTGTCTTAAATTTCTTTTGCAATTGCCTCACTAAAATGTTGCGTGATCTAGCATATTTTCAGCCTGTCGAAATTGTAATGTAACTTCTTCTTTTTGATATTTTTTGTAACTTTCTTTAATTGGATGGCGCACCTGGCGTAGAGTAAATTATGATTTGTGTAGCAGTCGGCTGAAGGCCTTGTTTTAACATTGTGAATTGAGTTTCTGTATCGTTTGTTGATGAGGATGAGTCTATTCGATTTCCTACTATTCTGTTTTCTCCGTCTTGAGGACTTTTCCATGTGTACAATCTTCGCGGATGTTGTTTGTATCATGTGTTTGTGGTACATAAGTCATGGCGTTCTGCAAATTCAACAAGCATATCACCACGTTTGTTTCTTTCGCTTAGTCCATAGTTGCCTACTGTGTCAGTTACTCTGTCTTTTCCTACTTTGGCGTTGAAGTCTCCCATTATTATTTTGACGTCCTTTGTTTTTGCAAGTCTGAGTGTCTTCTCAAGCTGTTTGTAGAATTCGTTTATGACATTTTCGGGATGGCTTCTGTAGGTGCATATACTTGAATAGTGCTTATAGTTGTGGGGTATGATGCTATGCGCAGGTAAATAATACGATCTGATATTGCTGCTACTCTGTTGACAGCTTTCATGATGTCTTTCCTGATGAGTATTTCGACACCTCTTTCGTGACGGTCTCCTCCAGAGAAAATAAAGTCATATGTGTCATTGCTTTTTATCCAATTGCTGTTGGGCCATTTTGTCTCACTGACACCGAGTATGTCCATCTTTCAGTTCTTTGGCTTCTAATACGAGGTTATGTAATTTACCTTTGGCGTACAGCAGCGCTGTCCAACTGGCGGCCCGCGGGCCGTATACGGCCAGCCAAATAATTTTTACGGCCCGCGAGTACATTTTACTATGAATAAATTTATGTTACTAAATTATTATTATTAATATTAAAATTATTTTACTACCGTGTTTACCCGAAAATAAGACAGTGCCTTATATTAATTTTTGCTCTGAAAAATGCGCTAGGTCTTATTTTTTCCAGGAAGAAGAATTCACATTTATTATTGAACAAAAAAATTCCCAAGTCGAACTTAAACGAGAGTGACGTATATCCGGTGTGTCGAACTGTCGCCTTTTTATAGCGTCGAGATCGGACTCGCTGACCAATTAGTGCTCACTGAACCGTAGCACTATGCAAATGTCATGTGGCGTGATTCCCAGCCGACCAATTAGCCATCACCAACCTTCTTGGCCCCCGAAATGTTTGGTGAAGAAAATATGGCCCGCGGGCTATGATAAGTTGGACAGCGCTGGCGTACAGCGTTCTTATATTCCACATGCCTATGTTGTTTATGT